ATATAATTACCAATACAGTTTATCCGATATATATATATATATATATATATATATATATATAAGGGTGAACTTTTTGGCACACTGATTAACATAAGCTAATCCATCCATGAAAATATTGCATTTTATTGCTTTTCGTTCTAAGGTGGTGAAAATTGGTGCAGGATGTGTACTCTGATTACGAATATGACAAACACCGAAATAGATATCGATTGGTCTAACTGAATCAGTTTTTCCGCTTTTTTGCGGTGTTCTGGTGCGTAAGGTTGTAATATGTTTATTACGGATATGATATTATTTATAAAGTTAGCTGTTGCTTTCATTGAATGACTGAGTTTCGTATTTTCTCTAAGCCGCTAGAATATGTAAAAGTGTATGCCGATATAGTGGGCAAGAATATGATTGCCATGCTACAAATTCTATATTGATCAATATTCCTCTCTAGATGGTTCGAGTAAAGGCAAGTTTCCTGGATTTTTTTGAACAGATCTTGTGCATGTATACGCTATGAAGCTGCTGAATTCAGCGCCGACGTGGAGCGCCATAGTATTTTCCTGAAAATATCTACACCACTGGCAAATTCTTCGCTGATGATGATCCATATATGCTAAGCCGACACCATCTGTGAAGTTAACATGATGTGCTCACAAAAAAAAACCTGTTTATATGTGCAAATGTGCACGCTGACCCTCCAAAGTAATGGATTAAAGCAAAAAAGCTTTGGAATAAAAGAGTTTCTAACAGTCAAACAATGGGCGAACTTTTGGATACCCTGTATGCAAAGTATGTGAGGAGCTAAAGAGCCAACGTCTAAGTAAGGTTTGTAAATTGCCATGTCGTTTAACTTTTTGATCGAATGAGTTCATCAATCTTCTTTTATGTTTCATCATTCAGCAAAGCTTCCAAATGTAATGTCCTCTACCGGAATAATTGTGATAGTTTACAAGAAATTCATGCAACCACAAAAATTATTATTTCGTCTCTTAATTAGTTTTCTGCAAAACATTAAATAGAATTTAATTTCTATCATTTCAAAAAGGTTACAGCATGTAAAGGCTCTCTTTCAAGGGAAGAATGACCTTGGCCGGTAAAAAATACCACTAAATGCTCAAGTGCTGATTTCAAAACTGCCTCCCTGATCTGCTAAACGATTCTTTAAAAGATATACAAAGGTCATTTCGCGAAAAATAACCTGCATAATTCCCATTTTGCCCTACTCAACATTCCATAATCGAAAAAGCTCAGTTGTTGACTAGAGTAAGTTTTTCACCTTATTGATTTCCTTTCCCCGAACATAGATCCAAGGTCACTAAGCACTTGTTGGATAAATTATGCTACTTGGAAATATATCCACTTATTAAAAATAAAGGTATTCTGTACATCTTTTAGAAAATCCAGAATTTATGATTTACTTGGAAGCACGCGATTTAGGAAACAAAGCCACTGCTTTATTCTTGTATTAACTCCATCAGACATCTTAATGTGATTAATTACAAGGAGGATTTAAATAAGATGCGCAACTTGCAATCTCCTAGTTATTTCCTGAGCTGGTGTCTTCGCCATGCTGCGTCGATGCGTCCGAATTTGATCGTACCACTGGCGTTGGAGGTTTCTGAACAAGTACGTGAGTCTCTGTAGACAAAGCATTCAATACTCGACGTACATGACGCGGGTTTCGCAAAAAATCACTGAGAATTCCGATGCGATTTCGGAATCTGAGCACATCGGATATGGTAGGAGAGTGTCTTCTTCCATGAGGTGTTAATCGAGAATGTGCAGAACTCGATCGAGCGTCTTGTCGAACATACGACCCTGAGGAAGTTGTGGAGTCGTTAGAGAATGAGCTATGAGTAAGTGAAACGAGGTTTGACGCGAGGCAAGAGGTTGAAGAAGCAGCTTTGGTCGCGACAAGATCCGCACTGCAGATGATGCTGGACGCTCGGGACACTTGCGGATCCGAATGAACCAAGCGACTGCAAAGGTCAACTTTTGAGAAAGAGCTTGGAACAATTCAACGATCAAGTAAACAAACATAGGATTGAATGAAGGCCCTTGTCCAGCAATAGCCGAAATCGTTGACGTAACTCGGTACTTTGCCTCATTTCCAGGATGCTGCAAATGTTTGAAAATGAATACTTCCAAACTTTAGCTATAAACGTACTGGATTAGCAAGAGTCTTTATGATCATCCTAGCCGTATCGCGAGTGATGCGATCTGTCTTTCCAGGAAAGGGAGTGTATGGTACGTGGGATAATGCTGAAACAACACCTTGTTGGATTCCTGCTACTATAACAAGAGCCGCTCTTGATTTGGCCAAAATACTCATTTTCTGACCTTGCAAACGTATTCCTTCATCGATATCAACCTCTTCAACGTCACTTCCCGAGCTAAAGTACTGCTTTTAAGTTTGTTAGATCTCGCAAGGGAAGAATATTTGGTCACTCGGCATTCTGAACGGGATGCGTATGATATTTGAAGACCCGTGAAAAACAGGTCTGTTGAAAAACCTATGAACTGCTCTGGGCTTAGGTATGTAATCCCTTGAACTCGAACGTCGTAAAGATAGATTGAGTGCTAAGTGCAGCGATGGCGGAAGGGTGAAGGGTTGCAATCCTATTCGCGCCAAAAAAGTTTCATTTATGTAATACATTTTTTGCATTCACATACGTTGCTTCATTAATCAAATAAATTCTTATAAGCATCAAGCTTAAGATAAGATAGCTTCAAAACAATTGAGGAAATTCAAGTCATGAATTCATTTTGAATTGATAAAGTAGCGCACAAGTACTCCTTTTCAGATGTAAAACTGCGAGGATTATGACGACAACAAGAATGAAACCATCAACCACGTGCTCCAAAAACTGCCTCCTTATCGCTCAGCCAACAAGTACCTATTGCGAACAGCATGATTACCTTACCAAACCACATGAAAAAACCAAAAAGGTTCACATCTTTTTTCAAACATGCTTTGCTAGATGGAACCCAGAAGCAA